TTGCCATGGAGGTTTTCTCTGGGTTGCTTCAGTCAAGGTACGCCTCAGGCTATATTTCGTACCATCCTCGGACTTCACAGCTGGAGATCTCCGATCTGATGTTCGCAGATGACGTGATGATATTTTTTTATGGGACTAGTTCTTCTCTCCATGGTATCTATGAGACCCTTGAGGATTTTGCTGGCTGGTCGGGTCTGCAAATGAATAGAGAAAAGACTCAGATTTTCCACGCAGGTTTGAGCCAGAACGAATGCACTGCTTTGGCAAGCTATGGATTCACTCCTGGGTCCTTACCAATTCGCTACTTGGGGCTGCCTCTGATGAGTAGGAAGCTCAAAGTTGCGGAGTATGCACCACTTATTGAAAAAAATTCCGCCCGCTTCAGCTCTTGGGCTGTGAGATCTCTATCTTTCGCAGGCCGTGTCCAACTCATCGCATCTGTTATCTCTGGAATTTTCAACTTCTGGATCTCTTCTTTCATTTTTCCCCTAGGGTGTATCAAACAGATTGAGTCCTTATGCTCACGTTTCTTATGGGCAGGTAGGACTGACAAGAAAGGAATGGTGAAGGTTGCTTGGTCTAAGGTATTTCTACCCAAATCTGAAGGTGGCCTTGGGCTGAGGCGTTTTGCTACTTGGAACAGGACATTGTGCCTGAGAATGATTTGGCTCTTATTCTCCAATAGCGGGTCTCTCTGGGTCGCTTGGCATAAATTCCACAACTGCAGTATGGACACAAGTCTCTGGAATCAAACTTTTCGTGCTTCAGACTCTTGGAACTGGAAATGCTTGATGAGACTACGGGAACTGGCAGAGTGTTTCATCGAATGCAACATTGGTAATGGAAAAGATGCAAGTTTTTTGTTTGATAATTGGACACCTTTCGGTCCTCTCATCAAATTTATTGGTTCAAATGGACCTAGAGACTTGCGTGTCGCTCTAAATGCTAAAGTTTCAGATGCGAGCAACTCAATTGGTTGGACAATTGCTGATCCAAGATCGGATCAGGCACTCTGTCTCCATATCCACCTTACAAGTATTAGTTTACCAAGCGATGCGCAGGGTCGGGATACATACGCTTGGGTCGTGGATAACAAGAACTGTAATGGATTCTCATCTTCTATAACTTGGGAGGTTCTCAGACCTAAAGCTGATGTTGTTGATTGGGGAGGAACTGTCTGGTTCAAAGGGGCTACGCCGAAACATGCGTTTAATATGTGGATTGCGAATCTCAACCGATTGCCAACAAAGTCAAGACTGGCTCGTTGGGGGATGAACATAAATACCACCTGCGATTTCTGCTCCTTGGAACCGGAAACGCGAGACCATTTGTTTTTATCTTGTGAGTATGCTCTCTTCATTTGGAATGCAGTGGGCAGGAAACTTGGTCTGTCATCTCTTAACTTTGGGTCGTGGTCCCAACTGTTTTCTTGGATGAATCGAAAGTATGATAGATCGGCCTCAAACCTTGCGCAAACTCATCACCCAATCAGTCATCTATGCCATATGGCGGCAGCGAAACAATCTGCTCCACAATCAAATCCATGTTATTCCATCTGTGGTCTTTAAGAACATCGATAGAGAGATAAAAAACACAATCACTGCTCGAAGACGCCGTAAGCGTTTTAGGACGCTCATGCAACTTTGGCTGCACTGATCCTGAATTCATCCTTATTGTTGCTATTTGCTTTCTTGTTTTACCTTTTTTGCCAAGAAACCAAATCTGGTTTTCACTTCTGTAAAATCAAACTTCATTTATATGATATTTGCACTTTAGCAAAAAAAAAAAAAATAATTTAATGTAAAATCGGTTTTAATAAGAAAGAGTCGTTGGTTTGTATCTTGACAACTTAGGAAGGAAGTGATGCGTCCTTGGCACGCTCTGATACACAAATAAGTTCTCCATAACGCATAGCTCAAGGTAAAATTAGTTGTTGGGTGTGATGAATGCATCCAAATAAGGCAAATGGAGATTCAACTTGCTGTCTTAGGCCTTCAACGTTTTGGAATGAATATGGAGGTATTCCTGGACCAAAAGGGAAATATATAATGCCTTGAGAAGTTTTCCAAGTCGTGGCTTCAGCTGGTGGTTGTCACCACTCCATAGTTTCTTTAAATACGTCTGCTTTAAGGCCTCCAAGACCATCTCATAAACCAGCTCGAACTAGGCCTGATTTCTCTTGATACATTTTCTTAGAATAGTTTTTTGCTGGTAGAAATTGAATCCCAGATCCTACAATTGAAGGATTGACTCCATGGTTGAGTATACTCCATGTTCCGTACTGCTACTCATACCACCTCTCACACCGGTCAACTTCTAGGTATTGTTGGTACTTATTCTTAAATCAATATGCTCGACTGAAAAAAGTCTATGTCTTCTATTCTAGGGTGTATCGGTTGCACATCTCATCTCGAAGGCTGTATCGATCTACATATTGCTTTTCATTGGTTTTCATCCAAATACTCCAACCTGGTACCTAAAATGACTCAGTGAAATTGAAAAAACCATAAGAGTAAAAATTTGTAAAGATTGTGACATATCACAAAACTTTTAATACTTTTACTTTCAGTGAAACACCAGTCACATCTTTAATCATTTAATTGAAAACACCTTATAGAAAAAAGCTAGGTTTCCAAAAATAAACAATAAAATGTACTCCCTCTGTCCCAAATTATATGATGTTTTAGCATTTTTTCCTTGTTCTATTTTATAAGATTTTCCCAGATTTCTATGCATAATTTATGTTTATTTAGTATGTTATGTCCATTTAAATTCTGCAGTTTTTTTTCTATTGGCTGAATTCCTATTAAAAAATAAACATTAATTATTTCTTAATCTTTGTACTTTTACACAAAACATCTTATAAAATGGGATAGAGGGAGTATTAAACTTCTTTAATTTGAATTTACGAGTACTCAAGCATAAAACGTCAATGATTGGCATTTATAACTGTGGTGCTAAAAATGATAAAATAAATAATTGTATTAAACAAATGGTGACAAATTTTTTTTAATTAAACATATCTTTAAGGGCCATATCACTATAAAAATGTAAAATACATAAAATGAGAGATGAGAGAGATATGGCTTTCAATCGGTGGAAGATTCATAAATTACTAGATGAATACCCACGCTACGCGTGGGTTTTTGTTTTAAAAATTACAGAAAAATATGATTATGGTTTTTGTTGCGTTTTATGTTATTTTGTGTGTTATCATGTAATTAATAAAGTCATATCTATTTTCTAAAGTTATAATTTTTATGATTAGATTCATCTTTGACTCGAAATATTAGTTTCACGTTTTTATGTATAAATCTGATTATTTATATACCTACGATCCTAATCTTTCATTATCATGAATACATACAACAATAATATATAATATATTGATACAATGGTATGTAATTATGTTACTTATGTGGTTTGAAACTTGTCTAACTTAATTCTAAATAAACAATTCTTTGTTCCATTTACTTTCTCGTCATCTACTACGCCAACCACATCATGATATGCTAGTACTTTAAGTCGGGAAAACGGTCTTTTTCAACCTCAACTATTTGTTGGCGGGTTTTTCCAACCCAAACTATGACCTCCAGTCGATTTCAACCCAAACCTAAAAATAATTCAAAATCGAAACCTGAACTAATGCAAATGAGCCGATTTCAACACGACGCGAGACAATGTTAGTTCGGAAGTTAACGATTTTCAAGGTTATTTGATTTTATTTTCAGGATTTGTTGAATGCTACAAAGAGAGAATTACCTAAGGTTGAACAATCGTTAACTTCCAAACTAACACCGTTTCGTGTCATGTTGAAATCGGCTCATTTGCATTAGTTCAGGTTTCGATTTTGAATTATTTTTAGGTTTAGGTTGAAATCGACTGGGGGTCATAGTTTGGGTTGGAAAAACCCGCCAGCAAATAGTTGAGGTTGAAAAATACCGTTTTCCCACTTTAAGTCAACACTTTAGATCTCTCTCATTGCATACAACCATATAGGAGAGAGTCTCTTGTTTTTAATTTCTTGGTATGTCTAACGTCTCAAAGGACCATTAAGTGAAAAAATTGTGTGTCAATATTACCAACTTATCATAACGCACATAAAAATAAAAAATGCCATATTCAAAAAACGTAACATGAAGTTAGGTAGAAAATATATAAACTACAACACAAGTAATTTTTTAGCCATTATCGAGTAATGAACATCGATAAAAAAATTAATAATATAAATAGAGTAGAATGAAAGTTGTGCTTGATACATTAGTATGATCTTTTACTTTATTTTTTTAGTTTTTTTTAAAAATCAATTAAGAGTGAGATTAATGGAGAATTTAACAACAAAAGACTTTTGATTTTCTCTCAATTAATTTTGCTAATCTTTTTATTTCAATAATTTAGAATGACACATGTCATTTTTTTATGTGATGATGTGGCACACATATGGAGAGAGTTGGCCAACTTTTAAATATACTAGGAGAAATCCCGGACTACGCCCGGGCATGTTATTTTATTTCTGGTTACTAAATTTATGTGTAAATAGGTAATTGTTGTAGTTTAACTTATATATTTGGATAATATTGATGTTCAAAATTTATCTAGAAGTCATAATTCTGAGAACGCTTGAGCCTATAAGCAATTACACTGAAACTCAATATATTTTTGTCCAGGGTTAGCTAACGTGATTTAGACTAAAATGTTTTTCATTTTGCTGATGTTCTAGATACTCTTAGAAGCGTCCATTGTCTCTTTGAATTAGTTAACTTATTTTAATTTCTGTCACTACACCATATTAAGCCCCTTTTTGGTTTTGTAGAATCATATATTACAAAGTGTTACAAAATATCACACCTTGCATGTTTGTATATATGAGTTAGCATGAACGTGAAAAATGGAGACTATACCTTTACGTTGTTCTTTTTTTTTGGGTTTAGGGAGCATAACACCAAACTTACATCATTGAGTTTAGAAGGCTATTAAACAAATAGACGGAAACCATGGTATTAAATATGAAATGAAATGTCTTCATTTTTACTATACTGGAGAAATAAAAGTTAATTTTTGGTGGACATATATAGAATGTTAAAAATGCTTAATGCCATGAGGATTCATTAAATTGTTTCTTTTGTCTTGCAAAAATGATGTGTACATGGTAGGACCAAAAAGCTTTTCTTTTCAATCGTCCTCAACAGATTTGAGATCTCTTTTCCTCTTGCCGTTAATTTTTGAAAGATCTTCTCCTTTGTTCTTAAACGTGTGGTTGTGGAGGAGTAGACTGTTACACTGCCAAGGCTGGTTAAAGAATACAAATTAGTAATACATCTTCATTTTTATGGTCTTTGACTTTGTTAGAATTACAACACCAATTCCCCAAAACATGTGAATCAAAACACTCCAAATGAGTATAAACAAATGTAGCTTATTGTTGGAATTTTTTTCAAATTTGCTATTAATCTAAACCCAAATCAAAGAAGATGAAACAAAGCAAGGGTTTAAAAGCCGAAAACCTCAGGGTAAAAAGACGGACCAAATTTTCTAAGAGGATGATTAGAAAAGAGTGAACATTGTGTTCAGATCAGAATTCACTACGAAAGACCGTCGATTGAACCTTGTTGATAATCAAAACCTCATTTAGTTAAACAAAATTCTACTCACACCAAAGGTACATAAAAAAACACGTGAAACACAATTTAGGTAGTAATATGGAAAACGAAACCTTAAAAAAAGCATAGACGGATTGAAAAATAATGTACCCCCTTATAAGAGAAACAAAGATAAATGATGTACCTTTATGAGTGTGCCGTACAACCATCATCTCACGGAACCAACCAGCCACCAGCTCGATCAACGACTTTCTTGATGTTTTTCTTGGGTAACGTCACCGCTCCTCCTCGTCATCGCTGATATATCTTTAAATCTACCACAAACGAAACAAATAAGATAAAGTCGAATGGTTAGAATGTAGATTTGTGTTAACAGTTATAGTGAGAAGCTAAAGATGTTTTACAAGGGATGAGACAAAGAGATTCACCTAGGAGGTACAAAAGTGTTCCTGCACTCCTTCGAAGAAGAAATTCTACAAGAAACACCAACTGAACCCAATTTTGAGTTCTCCATAAACCCACTCCAATGATTCGATCCTTAAATTATCGATCAGAGAATTTGAACTCATCCGGATTTGAGAGAGATGCGTAAGGTCGTCTATTCATATTTCTGTTTTGGATGAGACTTTTGCGGAGAGAAAGAACGTTCGCAAGTGGGAATTTAGGAGAAAGCCCCTGAGAATTTGTTCCCAAAGAGGATTTGGCGGTGATGGTTACATTACGGAGAGGAAGATTTTATAGGGTTTGGGAAGAGAAGATGTCAATAAGTGTACATTTAAATCAAGGGGGAGTGGCCAATTAAGGAGATTTAGTGGGAATGATGGTGCTTAATTTCAGACACCGGGAAGACGAAGCGGTTGGAGATCGGCGTTCGTCAATGCCGATGTTGGGTTACGTAGAAGAAGAAGAGTTTGTGGTTGTTTTGCGCTGCAGTTGGGCTAATATTGTTTGGGCTTTTGTTTTTTTTTTGGGTTTGGTTTATTTGGGCTAACGTTTGAGAGCTTTAAGATGAGTCATTAATAGTAAATGCAATGGCTTGTAATTAATTTTTTTTTAAGCGTCTTATTAGGATAATAAAGGTTTGAGCGTCCCAAAATGATTTAACTTTTGCTGACGTGGATGGTCTAAGAAGCATCAATGATTACCTTTTATTAGAAAGAGATGATGATTTATACTTGGGAAAAACCAGGTCTGGACATAAAAACCGAACTTTGAAAACCGATTTGAAAAATTCGGGTTCGAAACCGAACCGAATATTCGTAAAACTCGAACAGATTCTAAATGTTTTTACCGGAATCACCCGAACCGAACATACAACCAAACATTATATTCGGAAACCTGAAATAAAATTATATAACAAAAAAATAATATTAGTTATATTTTTATAACCAAAAATACCAAATTAACAAAAATATCTGAAGTAACCTAGATATCCAAAAATCATTAGTTATACTTGTCAAATTTTTACAACTTTTTGCAAAACTTAAGTAAAAATAAAATTGAACATTTTTAAGTTTTTTTTTTCCCAAAAACTAATCCGAATCCAATACCTATCCGAACTAAATAGTCATAAAATCCGAACGAATAATAAACTCTCCTACCCGAACTATACACATCCGAAAAATATGAACCGAATCTTATCCAATACCCGAAAACATAAGCCTAGACACAACTTTAATGAATTTGATAAATTTCAAGAAATTATTTTTACATGGACATAATCTAATAAATCTGCAATAATGAAAATAATTTTTGTTTGTTCATCATATCTAATAAAATGAAGCATATTATTGTGTTCTTATAACTCGTTATTCTAGAGTATCTTATACCTATTTAGAAAAAATATTGGCCAATTAATGTCCAAACTATGGACTTTCGTAAAACACCACCATCTCAGACTGTCTATATATACTTAAGTACAGTAAAACCTTTATAAATAAATACTCGATAAATTAATAAACACAATAAAATAATAAATATTGATGGTCATGAGTCGGCCCTCTGTAAAAATTAACCAAAATCGATAAAATAATAAGATAATATTTTTTTTTGAAATCCCTATAAAAAATATGGTCCAAAAAATTTATAAATTAATATTATATATACAATATATAACATCATAATTTTTTGTTTTAATAATTTAGTGTTGTTCATAATATTTTTCAATATATTATAATTCAATATATACAATATATTGTATAATATACTGTATATAAATTGAATTAATTTAATGTATACTGTATAATTTACTGTATATTGTATAATATACTGTATATATACAATATACAATATACAATATATAAATTAAAAATTTAGTGTTGTTCATAAAAAATAGCCAAAAGTTTATGTAAAACTTGACAAACTATTTTGTCTCTTATGCTTTTAGGGTTTTGGCGAGAGGAGGCTTATCATAATAATTAAGTCGTGAAGCCATATATATGACGAACACAGCAAACCTAAACCGTTTAGGTATAGTAATGGGCTTAGCCCAAAATCTTAATTATTCTTCTCTACGTGCACTTACATTTTTGTTTTTTTTCGTCGAAAATAAAATTATATTAATGAATAAGAAAAATCATCGTACAATTGTTCAGATAACCACCTTGGTGGATTACAAGTTTCAGAGAAAAAACATCGAACAGGAACACCATGTTTTGCCAACAAATGAGCCGCATTATTACAAGAACGTTTAGTAAATACAAACTGTAAAGAATGAAATTTAGCTGCCCATAACAAAATGTCTTGATAGATACCATCGATTGTGATATCATAAGATTCTCCGTTAATCATCTTTGTGAGGTTCTGACAATCGCCTTCAAAAATAACCGAAGTATGACCATGAATCCATACTTGTTGCATTGCGGCCAGTAAACTCTTAGCTTCTGCTTCAAGGGGCGTGATGGCATTTGGTAGACGGGACGCACCCCAGAAATTTGCATTGCCTCTATCATCTCTCAAAATCCAACCACCCGTAACTTGGTGTGTTAATGGATCAAATCCGGCATCATAATTACATTTGAGAAAAGGTGCTGGGGGTCTCCTCCAATGTTGCTCAATTTGGTCGAAAGCTAACGCTTGATCATAAGGTTCTCTAGACTGAAGATTATCAACCCATTCATGCACTTCTGCTCTCGCTTGTAGGACGACCATAGAGGGGCTCATTCGGATGATGTTGAAGATGTACTTATTCCTTGCCTTCCATATGTGCCATAGGAGCCAGAGTGGTAAAAGTTTCTGTTCTGTTTCCAAACCCTGCATTTTTTTGTAATTCCAATACCTTTAAGAGATTACTTTCATAGTTTGCGGAAGGAGATTGTAGTGAGTGTAAAGGAACATTGGATAATCTCCATATCATAGTTGCAAAAGGACATGTGAAAAGGACGTGGTTGATGGTCTCATTGGCCACACAGCAGCGCGGACACTTTGGATCCAACTTCATGCCGCGGGTGTTCAGACGTGTTGTTGTGGCTAAAGCCTTTGTGGTTGCCCTCCAAAGGAAATGTTTGATTTTTGGTATTGTTGATAATTTCCAAATGGAGTTCTTCATTGTATATTATATCAAATATAACATATATGTATTATATTAATTCTTTATTACAAGTGCACAAATATACATATATGTATATATCTTATATATGCATAATTTTTTGTTTTAATAGTCGTATAGGTTTTTCAAATACAACAATGGATGTCACTATTTATAAATTTAAATTTACGTATATCGTTTGTATATGTGAATTATATAATCTTTGTTATTCATTGTAAAAAAACAAAATTTGTTTTCTCTTCGAAATATTAAATGTTCAAGTCTAAAACTGTAAATTTATAACATCCAAAACATTAATCTTATTTAGATCACATTTTTAACTCATATTTGAAAAAAAAAAATTAAAATTAAAACAAAAATTTCTATAAATTAGTAAATATTAATTTACACTATAAATTAATCAATATTAATTTACACTATAAATTAATAAAATACATGGTCCCAATATTATTAATTTATAAAGATTTTACTGTATAGATCAATATCTAATCCGAACAATCATTCCATTTTATGATTTGATCCTTAATTCAATTTATATATATGTTTTAATTCTGAGATACATAATGATAGAGTCAATATGCAACAGATATACCAAATGAACCGCATATAGCAAGTGAAATATTGTATGTATTGGATCGAATTTCCATTTATTTTACATTTCAATCATCTTTTATGTTAAATTTAAATTTCTTTATAATTTTTGGTTAAATTGTAAAATGTTATTGCTTGAAAATCAAACTTACTTCGATTTGGGAAAGTTTATTTACTCCACTTTTGACCTTCTATATAGGTATTCAAAAAATAATGTGAACTATTGATTTATTTTTAAAAAAAGATAACAACAAATTTGAGTAGATGATTTCATCTTAGTAATTAACACAACAACAATGTTCTGGACTACAATAGCCGTAATCAAAATTTTTAGTTCTACAATAACTATCGCACCCATGGACTCCACGGTAAAGACACCAAGTTGGTGTAAAACATGTCTTCGTACGCCCCCCTATACCATAACCTGTTTTATATAAAGAATCAATAAACCATTAACAAAAAACAAAAGCATATCCATAGTTAAAAGTAGGGATATAACAATAAACAATTACCTGGACTACCACCAGTACGACAATGAGCAGAAGATATAATGAAAAAGACAGTGAAAACAAATGCGACAAAAGTTTTCATAGTAGTAGTCATTTTTATGTTATTCTCTGAACACTAGTTATATATAGATAATAACACAGATCTACATTAAAAATCTTTTGTTCTAGTCAAGGAAGAAATATAGCACAATCATTCCATTTAATTCTTATAGATTTGAAGTCAAAAGAAAATCACAGCTGCCTTTTATTACGGTTGAACATTGGTGACAAGATATTTATTATTATATTCATAATTAAAATATGTAATATGACAAGATATTTAAATATCCTATACTATTATTTGGGGAGTACAATTTATAATTACCCTTAATTAACCTTTCCCTTTGTAAGAATTTACTTAATAACTACTCCCTCTATTTTAAAATATATGATGTTTTGACTAAAAACACATATTTTAAGAAATTAATTTTTACTTTTAAAAACTATCATTTAATATTTAATTTAAGAAACTTCAACCAATGATATAAAAGACTGCAGAACATAAATAGTGATAAAATATCAAATGCATTTAAAGGTCATTTAAAAGTTGCATAAAAATTTGTAAACATCCTATATTTGAAACAAACTAAAAACTCTAAAACATCCTATAAAATGAAACAGAGGGAGTAGATTTTAACCCGCGGTACACCGTGGGATGATTTATTTTTAAAATTTAGTATATATAAAATTTTGTAAATTGTATCTCCTTATAAAATATAAATATTTTATAATTTACAATTGTTATTAAGTAACGGTATACCACGAGTTCACGAGACAATTGTTAATAAACTGAAGATTTAACCCGAATTAAAACGGCATGTTATTTTAAAACTTTTTAAATATTGATTCAAATCCGTCCACCATATAAACCCGTTTTGAAATATAACCCGTCCCGTAATTTCATAACCCGTCCCGTGATTTGTTTTCTAAAAGTAGTGATTTTAAAATTTAATGATTATTTATTATATATAAAAGTTTACAAATTGTATAATTTTCTAAGACATTTATATTTTAATAAACTGAGGATTTAGTCTGTATTAAAGCGGCATGTTAATGATATTTTAAAATTTTATAAATATTGATTCAAACTCGTCCATCATATAACCCCGTTCCGAAATATAACCCGTCATATAATTTCTTAACCCGTCTTGTGATTTGTTTTCTAAAAGTAGTAATTTTAAAAATTTAACGATTATTTATTATATATAAAAGTTTACAAATTTTATCATTCTCTAAGACATTTATATTTTATAATTTACAATTGTTATTAAGTAATATTATACCACGTGACAATTTTTGGTTTTATTTAATCTTTTCTAATGAAACTGATTTGATATGTATAATATTAGTGGTATTTTA